GACAGAGTATACAACCCATAGGGAAATCACATCAAATGATAAAGTGGTAGGCAATCATACAATACTGGGAATCATGACCTAGCCAAGTTGACAGATATTTCTGGGGGACACAATTCAATCCTTAACACTTTCCATGTATTTTACACCTGAGCCACACCATATGGATCCTTGTACTTCATATCTTCATGTCCTTTCTCACTTTCCCTCATCCTGTATTTCTTTCCTTCCTTTGTCCCAATGAAAATTCTATTCTCACCTAAAGAAGTGCAAGAAACTTTTTCTATAAGAAGCCACCCCTAAACCACCCTGTTGAAACTACTAGCTTCTTCTTTAGCACCCTAACAGCACTTTGCTTGTAATTCAGTTTTGCATTGCTTTCATTTGGTCTCCTAGGCACACAGTAGTGTTTTAGATTGTCCTTGACATTTGAAGAAAAATTTCATTTTATCTGCTCTCTATGCCCTAGGGCAAGAGATGCCTCAGAAAAGATGGCTGACAGTCTACTTCTGAAAGATCACAGCCATTGAAAACCCTATGGAGCATAGGAGCATAGTCCTACTCTGACACATACGGGGTCACCATGAGTTAGAATCAACACGATGGCAACTGATTATATATATATATATATATATATACATAACACATAATCTCTCTCTTCATATATATATATAACATATATGTTCTATAACACATATATATTATATAACTATATATATATTATTGTTGTTAGATGCCGTCGAGTCAGTTCCAACTCATAGCAACCCTATGTACAACAGAACAAAACACTGCCCAGTCCTGCACCATCCTCACCGTCATTGCTATGTTTGAGCCCACTGTTGCAGCCACAGTGTCAATCCATCTTGTTGAGGGTCTTCCTCTTTTTTGCTTACCCTCTATTTACCAAGCATGATGTGTTCTCCAGGGACTGGTCCCTTCTGATAACATGTACAAAGTATGTGAGACAAAGTCTCACCATCCTTGCTTCTAAGTATCATTCTGTCAGTATTTCATCCAAGATAGATTTGTTCATTCTTCTGGCAGTCTATGGTATATTCAATATTCTTCATCAATACCCGAATTCAAATACGTTGATTCTTCTTTGCTCTTCCTTATTCATTGTCCAGATTTTGCATTCATATGAGGTGACTGAAAATAGCATGCCTTGGGTCAGTGGCACCTTAGTCCTCAAAGTGACATCTTTGCTTTTTTACACTTTAAAGAGGTCTTTTGCAGATTTGTCCAGTGCAAAATGTCTTTTGATTTCCTGACTGCTGCTTCCATGGGTGTTGATTGTGGATCCAAGTAAAATGAAATCCTTGACAACTTTAATCTTTTCTCCGTTTATCATGATGTTGCTTATTGGTCCAGTTGTGAGGATTATTGTTTTCTTTATACTGAGAGCTAACCCATAGTGAAAGCTGTGGTCTTTGATCTTCATCAGTAAGTGCTTTAAGTCCTCTTCGCTTTCAGCAAGAAGGTTGTGTCATCTGCATATAGCAGGTTGTTGCTGAGTCTTCCTTCATTCCTGATGCCATGTTGTTCTTCATATAGTCCATGTATATTTATATATAGTATGTTTGTGTTTATTTGTTTACTTGTGTGTATATGTGTTTGTACTCTTTGCTCTGGAGAAGGTTTACAACTTTCATTGGATGCTCCAAGAGATGTGTAACCCAAAATAGGTTAAGAACAACTATTAGAATATTAGACTGTTGTGGAATGGGCACTCTGCCATTCAAACAGATGGGGGAGACGACTATAAGCAACCAAGAAATCATGAATGTGCATCAAATGTGGGTGCTTAGGGCATGGTACCCAGCTGGGCAGGTGGAGAATGCCATCTACCCAAAGCTGCCAAGGGCTATTAGCCAGTGCTGATTAAACTCTGGACTGCTCTGACTTTTGGAAATAGCAGTAAAATCCAGTCCTCCCCAGTCACGGCACAGAAGCACAGTATTTGGCTGAGTTTGCCCACATAAATGCCCTGACTGTGCCTTTGTTGAGAAGCTAAGTTGGCAGTGGCAGCAATGCAACTTGTCCTTGTCTACTTTTTCTATTCCCAGATAAACAATAGTTTGATTAATAATCACATTCCAGTCAGTCACAGGCACCATGAAGTAGACTAGAAATCTGGAGGGAAAAAATAGGGCATGACATATTTCTTCTTTCCATCCTTAAAGTAAATAGAAAACCTGCTCAAAAGGATCACATGATGCCACATCTCCCCCACTCCCTCATTATGACTCAGGTATCTGAGAATATGGGTTGTGATACAATACAATACAATCAAGGTTTAGTATGAATGATATAACTACATGACTTGACCTTTAGTGTAAGGGGTAGCTAAGCCCCTGATTATACTTAACTGCCCATGCTAGAAAGGCTCATGATTTTGAGAGTGATTTTCCTGCCACTTCTTTCTTTCCATGCCTTTTCCTAGAAAATTCTCTATGGAGTTGATTTGGCTGGTAAGAGACAGGCTAATTCATGAAAAATATGTACAGTTCCAATTGTCATGTGCATGCATGTGCCCATCAACTAATTCTTGTTTTGGCACTTGTTGAAGTCATTTGCTACAAATTATTCCATCCACAGTGGTATGCCATGACAGAGCAAAATAATACGTGACTCAGGTACCTGAATTTATGGGGGAAAACTCCACGTGCCCCCTTTCCCTAAAGTGACTCCTTATCCATATTATTTTCTTCCTTTCAAACAAACCAACTCACAAAAGTCCCAATTCTACTACATCAAATGCATAATGAAAATCAAACATTTTTCTTCCAAAAGCAATTGTGACAGGCTTCCAACTTAGCTATGCATGAATAAACCAAACCCAAACCTACTGCCATCGAGTTGATTCCGACTCACAGAGACCCTATAGGACAGAGTAGAACTGCCCCATAGGGTTCCCAAGGCTGTAAATCTTTACAGAAGTAGACTCCATGAAGCACACAGTTCTACCTTGACACATATGAGGTTGCCATAAGTCAGACTCGACTTGATGGCAATTGGTTTTTATTTGTCAACCCAAAAGGCAAAACTTGCATATAGTCAAATCAATCCCAACCAATGGGTCACTTTGAGGGTGTGAGACAATATTCCAGGTCAGCAGTTCCAAAACTTGAATATGCATTAAAATCACTTGGAAGGCTCGTGAAAACACAGATTGCTGGGCTTTACCGCCAAAGTTTCAGATATAGTAAATCTGGGGTGGGAATTGAAACATGCATTTCTCACAAGTTCCCAGCCAATGCTGATGCTGCTGGCCTTCAGACCACACTTTGAGTACCCTGATCCAGGACTTTAAGGTCAAGAAGTGTATTTAGTTCACAAACCAAGACATAAACCGTTTTTAAATAACTAGCAATACAAGGGAAGCACTGGTGGTACAGTGGTTAAGTGCTACAGCTGCTAACCAAAAGGTCAGCAGTTTGAATCTACCAGGCGCTCCTTGGAAACTCTACAGGGCAGTTCTACTCTGCCCGATGGGGTTGCTATGAGTCAGTATGGATTCGACTGCAACAGGTTTGCTTTGGTTTTTTGTTTGGCAGTACAAGGTAACCTAAAGGCCCCAACAAGCTACAGTGTGTACTAATGTAAGTGCCTCGGTGAGTGAGAACTCTGAGTTTGTGGAATTTGAACTGACTCCCAAATTTGGATAGGATTAAGATCACCAGAGAGGTAAGATAGAGGGCATTCTAGGATGGGGAAGTGAATGAAGTTTAGGTAGGAATGTGCAGCCAGCTTAGACTGGAAGTTCCTGCTTGTTGGAGTAAAGACTGGAGAGGTAGGTAGGGGTCAGTTTGTGGAGGGAGTTTCAATGCCACGATGTAAGGAGTACAGATTTTATGCTGAAGGTAGTATTTCTTCCATCCACACGCTATCTCCTCCTGGGGCAAGCAGGCAACAGGTCTGAGCTCCACGTTACTACAAGCATTTTTAACTTTCCCAAAGTGTCTTCAGCTGAAGTGAGGG